CGATTTTCTGCTGCTATCATATCTAGCCCTTTTCTATACTATAGGTATAAAATGAATGTATCTAATTTTCTCATAATGCAGATTATTTTTTTTAATGTTTATTTATTTATTTTTGACACAGAGAGAGAGAGAGAGAGAGAGCAAGCACACACAAGCAGGGGAAGTACAGAGAGAGAGGGAGACACAGAATCTGAAGCAGGCTCAGCTGTCAGCATAGAGCCTGACTGGGCTTAAACTCAAGAACTGTGAGATCATGACCTGAGCCAAAGTAGGACACTTAACGACTGAGCCATCCAGGCGCCCCCAGATTTCTTTTTTTTTTTTAATTTTTTTTTTTTTTTAATGTTTGTTTATTTTTGAGAGACAGAGACAGAGTGTGAGCAGGGGAGGGGCAGAGAGAGGGAGTCACAGAATCTGAAGCAGGCTCCAGGCTCCAAGCTGTCAGCACAGAGCCTGACGGGGGGGTTCAAACTCACGAACTGTGAGATCATGACTTGAGCCGAAGTCAGACACTTAACCAGCCGAGCCACCCAGGTGCCCCTAACCCCAGATTAATTTCTAATGAATGCAGATTATTTATTTCTGATGAAATGATATTTGAGATTTGCTTCAAAAATAATCCATTGTGGGGTAGAGGAAACTGGATTGGGAGTATGGATGAAATGAGGCTAGCCATGAGTGAATGGTTAATGTAGATAGGGGTATATGGAGCTCATCATACTATTCTTTGTACTTTTGTGTCTGTCTGAAATTTTACATAATAGTTTTTAAAAAATCAAGTAAATCTAGGTCGTGATAATTTTATTTATCTTGAGTATCATGGAAACTATAGTAATAAACAGCCACATTTTTAGTATTTTCATGTGAAGACAGTGTACAGTTTTAGGCCATTTGCTTTTGATGTAATTACTGATAAAAGATTTATGTCTGCCTTGTTGCTATGTGTTTTCTATATGTCCTAGGTCTTTTTATTTTATTCTACTATTTCTCTCTATTGCCTCCTTTATATAAAATAGATACTAATGTTATTCTCTTGTTTCTTTCACTATACATTTTGAGTTGTTTTCTGAGTGATTGCCCCAGGGATTACAATTAGCATCTTAATTTAAAACAATCTAGTTTGGATTAGTACCCTCAATTTAATTTCAATAGGATTCAAAAACTTTGTTCCAGTATAACTCCTTCCCTTCCTCTTTTTATTCTGCTGCTATTGTAATACATAGTACATCTTTATACATTATAAACCCATCTATAAAGCTTGATAATTATTGCTTTATACAGTTGTTGAAATAAGATAGAAAAAAAGTTAGGAACAAAAATTCATTTTATATTGTTTTTACATTTACCTATATAGTTAACTTTTACCAGTACTCTTTATTTCTTCATATGTATTTGACTTAGTTTCTAGTGTCCTTTTATTTGACCCCGAGAGACTCTCTTTAGTATGTCCTAAATACTAAAGGGAAATCTGCTAGTGATGAATTCTCTGTTTTGTTTACCTAGGAATGTCTTAATTTATCCTTTACTTTTTTTCAGTACGGTTGACATACAATATTACATTAATTTTTGGTATACAGCATAGTGATTCAGCAGCTCTGTATGTTATGCTGTGCTAACCACAAGGGTAACTATGGTCTGTCATACAGTGCTACTACAATACTATTGTAATATTATAATATTCCCCAAGCTGTACCTTTCATCTCCCTGACTTAGTAATTCCATAATTGAAAGCCTGTACATTTCCCTCCCTTTTACAACTTTTTACCCATTCCCCTGGCTCCCTCCCATCTGGCAACCACCAGTGTGTTCCCTGTATTGATGGGTTTGTTTCTTCTTTGTTTATTTGTTTTGTTTTTTAGATTCCACATACAAATGAAATCATACGGTATTTGTCTTTTCTGACTCACTTCATTTAAAAGAATACCTTCTAGGTCCACCCACGTTGTTGCAAATGGCAAGATCTGATTCTTTTTTATGGCTGAGCAATATTCTAATATTCCATTTTCTTTATGCATTCATCTGTCGATGGATACTTAGGTTGCTTCCATATCTTGGGTATAATGCACTGTAGTAAACATAGGGGTACATACATCTTTTTGAATTAGAGTTGTTATTGTTGTTTTTCCTTTTGGTAAATACAAGTAGTGGAATTACTGGACTATATGGTATTTCTACTTTTAATTTTTTAAGGAACCTTCATATTGTTTTCCACAGTGATTGTACCAATTTACATTTCCACTAACAGTGTACAAGGGTTTCTTTTTCTCCGTGTCCTTGCCAATACTTTTTATTTCTTGTCTTTTTGATACTCACCATTTTGACTGGTGTAAGGTAATAATCTCATTTTGGTTTGCATTTTCATGATGATTAGCAATGTTGAGCATCTTTTCATGTGTTTGTTGGCTATCTGTATGTGTTCCTTGGAAAAGTGTCTGTTCAGGTCTTCTGCTTATTTTTTTAGTCAGATTGTTTTTTTGGTGTTGAGTTATATAGATTATTTACATATTTTGGATATTAGCCACTTATCAGATATATCATTTGCAAATATCTTCTCCTATTCAGTAGGTTGCCTTTTCATTTAGTTGATGGTTTCCTTCACTGTGCAGAAGTTTTTTATTTTAGTGTAGCCCCAATAGTTTATTTTTGCTTTTGTTTCCCTTGCCTAAGGAGACATACCTAGAAAAATGTTGCTAAGGCCAACATCAACCATATTACTGCCAATGTTTTCTTTTAGGAGTTTTATGGTGTTAGGTCTCATGTTTAGGTCTTTAATCCATTTTGAGTTTATTTTTGTGCATGGTATAAGAAAGTGGTGCAGTTTCTTTTTTTTTGCATGCAGCTGTCCAGTTTTTCCAGCACTGTTTATTAAAGAAAGTGTCTTCTCCACCATTTGTATATTCTTACCTGTTTTATCATAGATTAATTGACTATATAAAAGTATGGGCTTATTTCTGGGCTCTCCATTCTATTCCATTGATCCATGTGTTTATTTCTCCTTTATTATTGAAGGGTAGTTTTGCTGGATATAGAATTTTTGCTTGACCTTCTTTTTCTTTCAGCGCTTTGAATGTGTCAACTCTGCCTTCTGGACTGCAGTGGTTTCTGATACAAAGTCAGCTGTTAATCTTATTGAAGAACCTCTGTATATGATGAGTTATTTTTCTCTTTCTGCTTTCAAGATTCTCCCTCTGTCTTAGGCATGCGACAGTTTGACTCTGATGTATCTTGGTGTGGATCTCTTTGAGTTTATCCTATGTGAAGTTTCTTGAGCTTCTTGGATGAATGGATTAATATTTATTAAATATGGGGTTTTTTTGGTCGTTATTTCTTTATAGAGTTAAATAGTACACATAACCTTTGTCTTCTCTTAGGACTATGTTGTTTGTTGGTATGCTTGATAGTATCTCATAGATATCTGAGGCTCTTAATTTTTCTTCATTCTTTTTCTTCCCCCTCTGTTTCTTAGATTGGATAATCTCTGCCTATCTTCAGGTTCACTAATTCTTTTTCTGCCTACTCAAACAAATATGCTGTTTGGTCCCTCTAGTGAATTTTACATTTTAGTTATTGTATTTTTCAACTCCAGAATTTCTGTTTAGGTTTTTATTTTTTTGTTTAAAATAGTTTCTATCTCTTTATTGATATTCTTTATTTGGTAAGATTTCATTCTTATACTTCCCTTTAATTCTTTGAATATAATTTTCCTTTAGTAATAGCTAATATATAGTCCTTGCCTAGGAAGTCCAATATTTGGGATTTCTCAAGGACAGTTTCTGTTAACTCTGTTTTTTCTTGTGTACGAGCTATACTTTTTAGTTTCTTTGTGTGTCTCATAACTTTTTGTTGAAAATTGGACGTTTCAAATAATACAGTGTGGCAACTCTGAAAATCAGATTCTTCCATCCCCTAGCAATTGTTGTTGCTGTTTTTATTGCAGTTTGTTTAGTGACGAGTTCTGTAAAGCTTGTGGTCTTTGTCATGTGTGGTGGTTCTCTATTTGGTGAGCTAAGTCTACTAATGATTAGAAAGAGACTTCCTTAACTACCTTGAACCTGTAAGTCTCCCTCTGAGTATCAAGGGGCTCTGTGTGTGTGTGCGTGTATGTGTATGCACACGTGCACACACGCATGGATACACAACATGTGTGAATGCATACATGTGGTATTGGGGCACACCTTCAGTGCTCTGGCACAGAGTCTCAAGGTCAGCCTGACATACGAGATTAGGCTTTTCTCAGAGCGTGCTTGGGCATTCATGGAGGCCTATATATGCACATGGCCTCTGGATCCCCAGTTAGGGCTTTTCAAAGCTCCACCATAGATATCCTATACCCCCCGAGTTTTAGTCTATTGTCATTCCTTGTTTACCTCAACTGCTATAGCCACCTCGGGCAGCTAAGATGTTAAACAGTTGCTACTATTTTCAAAAATTGACCTGGCATTAGGGCTTCTCACTGAACTAGCTCTGAGTCTGGGAAAATAAAGAGAAATCCTGTGAATGGCACTTTTTGAGGAGCTCCAAACCTGTTCTGCCCTTTTGAGTGGTGGTTAGGCTGTTGTTTTTCACAGCTAGAGGGGTGATAAAGCTGATTTTCAAGGCTACCACAGGGTTAAGGAAAGGGTCTTAGAATGAAGCATAAACGCCATAAAAAATGCCATAAAGCTTGCTGTTCTTACCGAGAGTCAGCTGTTTTCTTAATGAAATGTTCCTTGAGTTGTTGCAAGCCTTTGTTTAATATCCAGAGTTCTGAAAAAGCTGATTTTGACCATTTTTGTCTGTGTGCTCTTTGCTTTTATGGAGGAGTGGTCTTTTAGAGGTTCGTACTCTACCCTGCTGCTCTTTTCCTACTAAACCAGTCTGGTCATATGTTTAATCACTTGACTGATTAATTTCATTTTACTATTTAATGGAACACCATTTACCATTTAATGGAACTGTATAACTAAGAATGCATCAAAGATTTATGTCTTCAAATGTTTGCTGAATTTATGACAATTTAGGAAACTCTATTTTTAAATCTTTCATAGCATTGACGCTCTCTCCTGTCAAAGATTTCCTTCCTGTGAAGAACTAGGAGCAGCTAAATTGACTGTGCAGAGGTCTGATGATTTTCTTCATGATCCTGGCCAAAAGAGGAAAGAAACAAATGGCATAGTCCAGGTAAAGTGGGAACAAGATATTAAAATTGATGAGGAATAGAAAGGTAAAAATTATGAAGAAATATAAAAGTTATCAGGACAGAAAGCAAGCAGAAGGATGAAGACAAGGCACTGAAAAAGATAGGCCAGCCCCGGCTTTTCTCTTTATAAAACTTTTCCAGAACCCCTAAGTGATGTCTACTTATAGCCCTTTGCCAGGAATGCTACATGGCCACTGCTAGCTTTCCACCTTCTGTTGGAGAGGGTAAAAGGGAGAAAGAGAACTGTGAATGACCTTTGTTTCTCTGGTCCAAAGTGTCTGCCATGCTTACCTAGTGCCAACTTGCTTACTTTGTTTTTGCTTTCTTTCCCAGATAAAACTTTTATTGGCCACTGGACTGCCTAGCACTTCTACAGACTTACCAGTCCTATTTCACTTAACGTTCACATTAATACTTCCAAATAGAAAGAAACCTTAATTACCAATTTTATTTTTTAATTTTAATTTTTAACTACAGTATAGTTGACATTCAATATTATATTAGTTTCAGGAGTACAATATAGTGGCTCAACAAATAGACATTATGAAATGCTAACCATAAGTGTAGTTACTTATGCCAAGTACTTGTTTTATAGCTCTTGAGTTTGACACATGGAGTCCTTAGACTGTATTGGCATAGTGTATGGCCCCAAGTATAGCAAGAGCTCTTGCTTGCGTTAAAATAATTAGTATGAACTTTATATGGTAACATGTTTGCCTTTTTCCTTTAAGCCAAAAGAGTCTCTGATTATGTCAAGACTTGCTGATCTTCCACAGAATTCCATTAAGCTTCAAACAACCAATAACAGATCTGTCTTGAAAGATGCTGAGAAGATTTTGAGAGGAGTACAAAACAATAAAAAAGTCCTTGAAGAAAACCTGGAAGCTATTATTCGTGCAAAGGATGGAGCTGCCATGTATTCATTTATCAATGCTCTATCTACTAACAGGTAAGACAGGGTGTTGGCATCCCAAGATTATTTGTGAAACTGCCAGTTGTTAGGCTTTCTTAAGTTTTTTCTATGCATTTCATTTTGCTTAATGTGTTTCAGTGTTTTGAAAAGGTTCTTTATTTCCTTTGATGATGTGGACTCATTATAAAGTTGGTATGTAGATATCTACCTGTTGCTATTACTTTTTACAGATGTGAAATTTTCCCTTTTTTTTCTTTCTTTGGTATATATCTTTTGGGATCTATTCAAGCATCCTTCAAACATTTGGTGAAAACTAATAACGTTGCTTTTTTTTTTTTCAAATGAAGCCTATTGGGCTACACAGTAGATTCAAAACTAGATAAGAGATCTGATCTCGGCTCTATTCTTAGAATATTAAATGCTAATTTAAGACCATTCTTTTTTCTTTTATAGAGAGATGTTAGAGAAGATCCGTATCAGAAAGACAGTAGATGAGTGGATTAAGACTATTTCTGCAGAAATTCAGGTAGGTTTTGGAAAAAACAGAATTAGGTGAATTCTCAGATAATTTCCAAGTATCATACTTACTCTCAAAATATTCCTTATATATAAGTCTGCTTATAATTTTTAATTTCATTGTTACTCTTTACTTAGTAATGAGTCTCATTTTACTTATTAGCAAGTGCTTTTTCTCATAAATTATATAGCTCTTATCTGGAAAATTGTTGGACAATCACGAAAATATGAGTAATTTGAAAGAAAATTTAGCAAAAGCATTTAGAAATAAAAAAGTATACTTACAAAAACATTTCAAGACCGCAGATGTAGAAGCACTGACTTGACAAAGTAAAAACACCAAAGTTATTTAAAGGGAAAATACTACACAAGATTTCTTAGGTTTCTAAGTTTATAGAAGTCAGTTCCAGATGAAAAAGGCCCTACTTTCTCACCTCCCAAAGCTCACAGTGTATTTTCAGACATTAGCACTGCAAAAATCAAGGAGAGCTGTTTTCATTAGAGGCTAAGTAATTTAAAGGAAATTTTTAAAATTTTAAATATTTGAGGGGGCAAAGTAGACAAGGTAATCCTGTTATTTTCATCTTGGGGTGCAAAGTGTTTTTTTCTGACTGTAAGATGTGTGTGTATGCTTACTCACAATGGTAGCAAGATGAAGTGTCAGTTCGGTTTCCACAGCAATAAATGCTAAAATGTACTTACAAAGTTTGTTGTTTAAGAATGTATATCTCTAATGTTATGAAGAAATGATATTATCTATATGATGCACAAAAAAAATTGAACTAATAGAAGATTGGGAGATTAGTTTTAGCTGTGTAGACAGCTAGCAATATATGTTATACTAATACTGTGAATTCATTACAAAGTATGTTCAAATTTTCAAGCGATTTTAGTTTATAAATACTTATTTCAGAGTTGTATTACGAAGTTGTTTACTTTTTTTGAAGTTTATTTTTTAAATTTAACTCTTTGAACATTTACTATAGTCCTATGGTTCAAACATCAAAAAATGTAAGATTTGTAATGAAAAGCTGCCTTCCTACTCTTGTACCTCATCTATTTCTCATCCCCCTGCTCCATAAGGCACCAGTCTTTTTGGTTTTCCTTATTCTTCCAGAGAGTTTTTATTCATATATAAGGCAATGTAATTAATTTATAAAGCATTTAAATCTGCTAAATTATATTTTTATAATAGAAAATAAATTCTAATACTTTAGATGTGAAACCACTTCTTGGATAGATTTTAAGTAATTTGAATTTTGGTTATGTTAAGGATGAGCTGTCAAGAAAAGATTATGAACAAAAGAGATTTGATCAGAAGAATCAAAGGACCAAGAAAGTTCAGAATATGAGTAAAGATGTTAAAACTAACATACAAGACAAAACGGCAAACAATTCTATAATTCAAAGAAAACATTCTCAGAAACAAAAAGAGGAGCATTTTAGAAATCCACTCATGAGGAACATTCCTGCTTCAAACTTACAGAAAGAGAGAAAAGAAGTAAGATCCTACTCTGATTTTGTGACATGAATATTGCATTATAATTGATCATTTCCTTTAAGCTATAAATAATAAAGCAAATATTAAAATGCAACTAAAAATATGAAAGACTATAGAAATGTAAACTATCTTTAAACTATTGATATTTAGATTTTGGATATTCATAATGTGGAAAAGCAGTGCACAAAATACATAGTTTCCTCCTTCTTAGATCTCACACTTAGAATCATAGTATTTTAGTTATAGCAGGTATATCTAGAGATCATCTGGTCCAAACATTAGATTCTCTAGTTTGTGGTACTAAGAATTAGGTTTCATCTTTGTATGTATTTATATGAATATACATATTTTTTGTTTATTTTTCAGTTTAACAAATATGTCTAGTGCCTGGTGGTTGTGAGGTATGATATTCAGTGCTACAGAGGGAACGTTTTTGGCTGCTGTAATTAGGCTGTAACTTTCTTAATGCCAAACACGGATTGTTGGGCACCTTAATAAGGCATCTAATTCAATGCTTAGCACTTAGTAGATCTAATTTAGTAAATGCTACCTTATTGTGGCATTTAGATTATGATTGAAGACAGGATTAGGAATGTAGAAAATCATTTAAAGACATGATTTATGTTATCTTATTGTGATTGAATGTATATATTTATACTTATATAAAATGTATTTAAACCTTACTTTTTGCTGCTGAAAATATGCTTAGTAGTATAAGAACCTTTATGATTTTTGAGTGGATGGTTTTTATACTTAATTTTTATGCCTTCGAAAACCCTAAAATGTTAAAGCTGTAGTGTGAAAACTATACCCAGAATTTAAGAGCCATTTAAAGTAGAGGACTTTTCTGACCTGGTCATTCTTATTATAATACGAAAGTGACAAAAGAAAGCTTTATAAAAATGAGATGTGTTTGATAACCATTTTTTTGGTGAGTCGAATAACTTTGTGTACTTAGGGATTTTTAAAAGCAACCACAGTGATACAAGATGAGGATTATATGTTACAAATTTATGGAAAACCAATTTATCAGGGCCATCGCAGCACTCTTAAAAAAGGACCGTATCTCCGATTTAATTCTCCATCTCCTAAGTCCAAACCCCAGAGACCAAAAGTAATAGAACAAGTTAAAGGTAAGGAACCTCATTTTTTTGTGGTAAACTTCGTTTTTTATTTTATCAGTTTAATACGTAAAGTTATTTTTTTCTTTTTTTATCATTCCTAAATACAGTTCAAATTATATAATGCTTAGGGATGGAAAACAATTCCTTCTAAGAGAGTAAGAAGAAATAGACCAGTTCAAGGCATAAAATTCAAATAAATGGGAAAAAATGTAGATCAGATTCAAGTCACAAGATAGGAGTAAGTGGGACAAGACAGGATTAAGTGGTAGCTTCATATAAAGCATGATAAAATTTGCATTTATGAGATGATGTCTTGAACAATTTAAATTATAATCTAGGGAAAGTAGACGTTTCCTTGAAGACATTGTTCTATCCCGTTCTTTCTGAAAGAAGAATAGCAGCTGTCTATTATCATAAAAGTGCTTATGGGCATTTTTGCAGTTTTCTTTATTCTCAAAGAACTTTAGGTAGTAAAGGTGAAAAAAAAGGTTTTAGTACTTTTGTATACCACCAAAAAGAACTTCAAAGGTGCCTCAATGGCTCAGTCAGTTAAGCATCTGACTCTTGATTTCCACTGAGGTCATGATCTCGTGGTTTGTGGGATCACACCCCATGTTGGGCTCTGTGCTGCACTGACAGAGCGGAGACTGCTTGGGATTCTCTCTCTCTCTCTCTCTCCTTTTCTCTCTTTTGCCGCCTCTTTTCATACACTCACTCTCTTTCTGTCTCACAATAAATAAACTTAAAAAAAAATTCACTTACTACTGTATGTTTTGACTCACATCTGCCATTTCCCTAGTGTATTTAAACATAACTCTTCATTAAACGTTGAGTCTGTTGACTTTGGTTACATTTTGAAGTGCCTCAGCTTGTACTTTAGCAGCCAGTAAGCCACTTCAACAATATGCAGTATGATAACTAGTGGATACCAGCTCGGTTTTGTTTCTTACCCTTTCTGGAAGTTGGAGCTGTGGCTTTGCTTTAGTTTTCTGTTCCTTTCATTTCTAAAGGTTAGGTGATCATATATAGGGTGTCAGTTTATCTAGAAATCCTACTGGTGTGATTTAGTAAAGCATATAGCTTATGGATGATATTTACCCTATTTCCTCTTCTTTATTGGGACTTTGATATTAACTTATATTTGGGCTTTTGAAAGCCATTGCAAAAAATAACTTGAAGTCTTAAAATACTTAAAATTCCAAAAATAATTTTATTAAGTTACCCTTTTAATGGTAGAAGTGACTGAACCTGTAGAAACATGCTTATCTGTGGGTCTTGCTGTCTGTCATTTTCTCTACCTGGACAGCTTATCCCTCAGAAGTGTGCGTGGCTTACTCCTGCAGTTCTTTGGATCTCCCCTCTGAGAGGTTAGCTCTTCAGAGAGGTCTACCTTGACCATCCTCTCCAAAATCGATCTCCTGTACCTCTATGTACCCTTGCCCTGCCTTATTGTTCTTCATAATTGCACTTTTCACAATCTGATGTTATATATATTTTTTCTTTTTCTTTTTTTAAATCTTTTCTTTACATTTTTTTAAACGTTTATTTATTTTTGAGAAACAGAAAGAGACAGAGTGCAAGTGGGGGAGGGGCAGAGAGAGAGGGAGACACAGAATCCGAAGCAGGCTCCAGGCTCCGAGCTGTCAGCACAGAGCCCGACGCGGGGCTCGAACTCACGAACCACGAGATCATGACCTGAGATGAAGTCGGATGCTCAACTGACTGAGCCACCCAGGATCCCCTTTTTCCTTTTGCTTTTTATATGCTGCTGCTCTTCTTTTTCTTCTTCTTCTTCTTCTTCTTCTTCTTCTTCTTCTTCTTCTTCTTCTCCTTCTTCTCCTCCGAGTGTAGCTAACACACAATGTTACGTTAGTTTTAGGTGTACAACATGGTGATTTGACGAGTGTATACATTATGCTATGTTCACAAGTGTAGCTACCATCTGTCCTGTTACCATTTATAGTACCATTTCAGTTATAGTACCATTGACTATATTCCTTATGTTCTGCCTTTTATTCCCCTGAGTTATTTGTTCCATTACTGGAAGACTGTATTTCCCATTCCCCTTCACTCATTTTGTCCAACCCTCTATCCACCTCCTCTCTGGAAACTATCAGTGTATTCTCTGTGTTATTATGTGTCTGATTCTGCTTTTTGTTTATGTGTTTGTTTTTAGATTCTGCTTATGAGTGAAATCATATGGTATTTGTCTTTCTCATTCTGAGATACTTCACTTAAAACAATACCCTCTAGGTCCATCCATGTTTTCTCAAATAGCACAAACTCATCCTTTTTTATGGCTGCATAATATATATATATATATATATATATACACACACACACACACACACACACACACACACACACACACACCACATCTTTTTTACCCACTTGTTTATCAATGGACACTTGAGTTGCTTCTGTATCTTGGCTATTGTAAATAATGGTGCAGTAAATACAGGAGTGCATTTGTCTTTTTGAATTAGTGTTTTTGTTTTCTTTGGATAAATATACAGGAGTGGAATTATTGGATCATATGGTATTTCTATTTTTTAAATTTCTGAGAAAACTGCATACTGTTTTCCACAGTGGCTCTACCAGTTTACATTCCCACCAACAGTGCGTGAGGGGTCCTTTTTCTCCACATTTACTTGTTACTTCTTGTGTTTTTATTTTAGCCATCTCACAGGTGTAAGGTGATAATCTTGTTCTAGTTTTGATTTGCATTTCCCTGATGATATTAGCATCTTTTCATGTGTTTATTGGCCACCTGTATGCCTTCTTTGGGAAAATGTCTGATTTTATATTTTTATTTGCTTATCGATTGTTTTCCTTACTAGACTGTAAACTCAGTGAGTACGTTTGGTTTATTCATTACTCTGTTTCCTGTGTCTGGGGCAATGCCTAACATATAAAATGCTGGAAAAATTTTAAATGAACATTCAAGAAAAATATTCATTTAATTGAATAAATGAATACTAGACAACAGAATGAAAAAAATATAGATGTGGTACTAAAATGTTTCTTCCTAGGATCATAAATCTATGTTTAACAGTCCAGATTCATAAAATTACTCCCATATTAAAAGAAAAAAGGTAGTAATGTCAGGAGTTTATTTAGAAAATAGTTTATTTTCCTTTATACTTTTACTTTTCTTCACTTTCCTCAGGTTCTGTAGAAATCAGACAAATTTCTAATTTTTTAAGAATTCAGGATTTAGGGGTGCCTGGCTGGCTCAGTTGGAACAGCATGGGACTCATGATTTCAGGGTCGTGAGTTCAAGCCTCAGGATGAGTGTAGGGATTACTAAAAAAAAAAAAAAAAAAAAAAAAAAAAAAAAAACTTAAAAAAAAGAACTCAGGATTTAATGTCTATAGATTTTCATACATAGGAATAGAAAAAGTGTATAATGATATTGACTCCTATAAGATTTTAATAGGTATATAATTTGATTATCTGTACATAATTTCAAAGGTTAAAGGCTGGTTATTCAGAATTATGTCATGAGTAAAGATGTAATGAGAGGATGAAAAAAAATCCAATTCCAAATATGATCATTAACTTTTTTGTACCCATAAGGGAAAATATGTAATGGGTTAAATAAATAATACAGTCTGAATATTCTGAATCTTTTACTCAACATTTTTTTCCTAGTCATTGAATCTGTCTTGTCATAATAGTTGAAGAAGTTATTACATATATTCATTGGTTCAGAAACCGTGGCCTGCGAGTCAGCTGCCTGTTCTTTTTTTTGTTTTTGTTTTTGTTTTTGTTTTTTAAGTTTATTTATTTTTGAGAGAGAGAGACAGAGCACGAGCTGGGCCCTCCCTAGAGAGAGAGACACAGAATCTGAAGCGGGCTCCAGGCTCTAGGCTGTCAGCACAGAGCCCAACACGGACTCAAAACTCATGAACCATGAGATCATGATGTGAGCCAAAGTCAGACGCTTAACCAACTGAGCCACCCAGGCACCCCCAGCTGCCTGTTCTTATAAATAGTATTGGAAATAGCCACACATTTATTTGTGCATTGCCTATGACTGCTTTCATGCTGTAGTGGCAGAATTGACATGTAGCTGAGACTGCATGGCTCATGAGACTAAAATGTTTACTGTCTGGCCATTTAAGAAAAAGGTTTTGCCAACCCCTGGTTTATATGTTACTTCTATTTGGGAGCCTTGTAACTTTATTATATAGAAGGAGATCTTTCTGTAAAGATCTGTATTTCTAGCTGGCTGGATAGTAGATGTTCAAACAATATTTTAAAGTATCTGCCATTGATAATTATTATAGGCACTAAAGTAAAGTCAATAAGAACACAAACTGACTTTTATGCAATGAAACCTGTGAAAATGGATTCTAAATCGCAACACTCCATTCCTATGATGCTGCCTCCTGGTGATCAGCATTACTTGTTCAGCCCAAGCAGAGAAATGCCTACTCTTTCAGGTACACTGGAAGGTCACCTAATTCCTATGGCTATTCTTTTAGGTAAGTCCCAACAAAATACACAGGGTAAATTTTAAATTCTTATCAACAGTGGCAGAACTTTCAAAATGACGTGATAGTCCCTTACCTTTTCATCTATGTGTTGTATCTGTGGGTAGGGCCTCAGAATGTGTCTTACTTTGTATAATAGCAGTCTCTGAAATAATGGGCTCTCACCAAAGTTTCATTCACAGGAAACATTCCTTTGCTATTTTATAGTACATTGCTATAGATGAAACAAAGCAATAAAATGTTTAGATATGTTCTAGATATTCATAATAATTAAAGAATTCAAACATTCTAAGTAGTTCAGTGTCATGTGTTAGGTGAAGTACTTTAAAGTAAGTTTTATGTATGTTTGAACTAGGCTGTGGTAAGTAAAAATTGTGTGGTTGTGTCTCCTAGGCCAATAGTTGGTTATTTACCTATCTGAGGTCTCTCAGACTCATGACTGTAAAAATTTAACAAATCATTTTTGCTCCCACACTAACTCTTAAAATATAGTTAGCAGTTTTTTTTCTTTTGGTGTCCTTGCTATTCTTTCTTAATTTTGTTGAATGATTTAAATATGGACATTTTCCAACATAGGAGGAAATTTTTCATTTATGATATTATGAGTTAGTGACATGTCACCTTGGTAGCTGTGTCTGTTCAAACATGCCTTCTGTTAATGTAGTAGCTAATCCTTGCTGTGTGCCAGCTATAGACGTAAGCACTTTATATATACCAATTTATTTAATCTACCCTGTAAAACCCATGGTAATATACCAGTTTTATAGATGAAGGAACCAAGGCACAGAGAAATTAAGTAATTTGTCAAAGGCCACATAACTTGAGTGGAGCTGGGATTCAAACCCAGTCAGTCTGGCTTTATAAAGAGTCTACGCTTCTAAAGAATGTACTGTATTGTCCCTCTTTACTTTGAAATGTAGGCAATAAGTGGAATTTTTGAAGTGAAAGCTAAGTTTCTGACAGCTGTGATAACTACCAAATAGTGAGTATATGTGCTATTTATTGGTAGTCAATCACTAGTATTTTATTGTTGGTTTTATTTCTGTCCATGGTTGCTCTATGAAGATTTGAGAATAAAAGTAATCCGATGTAGTGCACTACATATTACTCGTAGCTCTGTCACTTATAAACAGGCATGACCTTTGACCAATTCTGTTGTTTCTAAACCTATTTCTTCAACTGTGAAATGTGGATAACATGAACACCTCCTAGGCTTATTTGAGGGCCAGATAGTGTATGTGAAGTGTCTGGCACATATGGGTGCCTGGTAAGTGTGAGTCACTGCTGAAGGGAAGCCATGCTGAGTATGTTGACGGTGATGATAATAGAAGAAGAGATGACTGCAGTTAGCACTCGGTTTTTAGGTGAGAATTCAGCCATAAACATCCAGGTTACGTATTTGATTTTACCCTTTATTTCTGAAATGGTCGACACATCTCTTCCCCAAACTCTTTAGGACAAACCCAAAGTAATAGTGATTCCATGCCACCCACTGGAGTAATTGTAAACAAGCCACACCCTGTAACAGTGACTACTTCTATTCCTCCATCATCTCGAAAAACGGAAACTGGAGTAAAGAAACCTAACATTGCAGTTATAGAAATGAAGTCAGAAAAGAAGGATCCTCCTCAGCTTACCGTACAGGTATGCCAGGGTGCACGAATAGACAATTTTAAGGGAAGAAAATTTAGCACTTAAAATCTGTTACATTGCTTCGTGAAAAATTTGCTTTCATCATGGGCCTTTTGTTCTTTAAAACTATGATATTAACATGATGTCTCGATCCTTGTTCTACCTGATTTAAGCTACTTGTTCTAAACTAGTGATTCATATCCAGATGACATGATGATGTTCCAAAGGGAACAGTTCAAGAGTGTATTATAATTAATTTTAAAAGAATGAGTATGACTTTAAATATATACAAGATTTGAATGAATAGAAAGGGAACTTATATGTTAAGATTAATTATTCAAGTTTCCATTCTTCCTAATATATAATTTAAGTCAAATTGTAATTTAAAAAAGTCCCATCACAAGGCATGAGTTTTATTTTTTTGTCTGTTTTTTTTAGTTTAAACTTAAGGGTCATTTTGATATTTGATATTATTTAATGATTCGATATATTATTTTATTTGATATTACTTAATGATTATGTAATGACTTGATACTATTTAATGACTTAAGATTTAAGGATCATTTTGATATTTGAACCTGTATAACGAAGTATTTCAGATAATAGCTTTGGTTATTTAAAAAAGAGGCTCTGGGTGGCTCAGTCAGTTATGTGTCCTCTTTTTTATTTTTAATTTTTATTTAATTTATTTTTTAAATTTACATCCAAGTTTGTTAGCATATATGTGTCCAACTCTTGATCTTGGCTCAGGTCATGATCTCATAGTTCGTGGGATCTAGCCCTGCGTCAAATAAATAAATAAATAAACTTAAAAAAATAAAAAAAATTAAAAAAAAAAAGTCTAGTATGTGGTAGATACTTCATGTATCAGTGGGCAATAGGATTCTTGTAAGCGGAATATTATATTTTATAATTAGTTAACAATGTGGAAAATAGATCAGTTTAAGACTCTAACCTCTTACTGTATGGCACATGAATTCTAAATAGGCAATAGGTGAAAGTATAACTGTAAAACATAAAAGCAACAAAATTAGAAGATAATTGCATGGAATTTTTATCAAGGCTAAAGTTAAGTCTGGATATGAGAAAAGAAAACTTACATATGATAAAAGAATAGATTTGAATCTATAAAATCTAAAACTGAAGTTAATGTAAAAAATTCCGATACAAAAAGGAAAACTACAGTGAGAATAGATGAAAGGAATATGCTAGAAAGGATCAATTTTTAAATCTGAAAACTTGCATAAATTAATAAGAAAGCAGTTGCAAATCTGGAAATATTCAAAGAACATAAATACAGAAAAGGAAATACAGTTTATAACCAAGAAAATGAGTAATTTCAATCTTTCTGGTCACCAAGATAATGCAAATTAAAATAACAATGATATACTTCCATTTAAAAACTTATTACTTAAACAATTATATTATTTAATTTGGACAAAGCGGTAAAACATAATTATGTTTTTGATGACATTAATTTTTTAATGTTTATTTTTGAGAGAAAGAGACACAGAATGTGTGTAGGGGAGACACAGAGAGAGAGGGAGACACAGAATCTTAAGCAGGCTCCAGGCTTCGAGCTGTCAGCAGAGAGCCCCAGGCAGGGCTCAAACTCACGAACCAGGAGATCATGACTTGAGCCAAGACCTGAGCCAACTCGGATGCTTAACCAACTGAGCCACCCAGGCACCCCTGTTTTTGATGACATTAAATAGAACTTGTTTGGGTTGCATTTTGGCATTAATTACCAAGACTTTTAAATATTTATGGTCAGTGACTTCGGAATTTAATCTAGTCTCTGTCTATCTAGCATAATGAAATAATTCAAAGTTTAGGGGTAAAAAAACCCTGTATATATGAAGAAGTTTTTTATGGTGATATGTATAATAGTGGAAATACTAGTAATATCTTAAATGTTTGCCAATAGAAAAGTGGTTAAATAATTAAGGCATGTATATTTGTTGAAATACACAGTTATTTAAAATATAATTATGAGCTGGGTGGCTCAGTCAGTTAAGTGTCCAACTCTTGATTTTAGCTCGGGTCATCATCTCACAGTTTGTGGTTTTAAGCCCCACAATGGGCTCTGCACTAACGGTGCAGAGCCTGTTTGGGATTGTCTCTCTCCCTCTCTCTCAGTCCCACCCCAACTTGTGCTTGTAGTCTCTTTCTCTCTCAAAAATAAATAAATGAACTTAAAAAATATATAATTATGAAGATTCTACGGAATCAAGAAAGGTGCTTATGATTTTAATTAGAATGAGAAATCAGAAATGTAATTATTTTGGGGACACCTGGATGGCTCAGTTGGTTAAGCGTCCAACTTTTGGCTCAGGTCATTATTTCACAGTTCATGAATTTGAGCTCTGCATTGGGCTCTCTGCTGTCAGCACAGAGCCGGCTTCAGATCCTCT